TCCTGTCGATGAAGCCATCTCGATTCTGGTCGATCATGTTGAAGGCCTCTTTGAACTCCTGAATCTGTGACCGGTCAAACATGGCAAACACATTGCGCACCGACAGTCTTTGCAGAGCAGACACCCTTGCGATAAAACAAGCCCGAGTTTAATGCGGGCGATTTTATTCCAAAGGATAAAATGGCAAAGACCCTGGAGGCGGGGCACTGGCACAGTGGCTGCAACGATGGGGTCCAACAGAGCAGTTCTGAGGACGGCCCAGTGCGTTTGGTGCGGGGGAGCAGGAGCCACGCCCCTGTGAGGCAGACCGACTTCGCAGCTCCTGCGGGGAGACCACCGCATGAGGGAGACTGCGCGGACTTCAAAGGCTTTTCCTGTGAAGCCTGGGCCGGGCTATTCTGACAGAGAGAACTGTCCCGAGGCTGCCATCTTTTTGAGCAGTCTGCCACATCATCCTCACAGCTGGTGGGTGACCTCTCAGCGCACGCCACCCAGAGCCCTGCTTCTTACAGAGTGAATCCTAAGGAGCCCATTGTCTTCCAAGTCCACAGAGCTGGCTGCCCCACCGACCCGGTTTGCATGGTCCCAGGGTGGTGCAGTGGTTATGCACTGGGAAGCTAACCACCATCAGGACCAGCAGTTCAAAACCACCAGCCCCTCCTCCAGAGAAAACCGAGGCTGCCTACTCCTGTGAAGATGGACAGTCTCGGACACGCGCAGGGGCAGATCCACTCTGTCCTACAGCCTCACTGGGTTGGAATGGACTTGACTGCACTGGGTTCGATTGGGTTCTCCCGAAAGGCCCCAAGGATGAAGGGCTGTGGGATGAGAGGGGCTTGATCAGATGGTGGGTCAGAGAAGCTTCCATGTGAAACCAGTCCGTTCCCAGGAGGCTCAGGCTGAGGGTGGACCTGTCTTCAGGGACCCAGGGAGGGCGAGGAGCTCAACGAGTAACCGGCTAACGGGTGGTTTGCTGTCATTGGTCAGTAGGCATAAGCAATTCAGAGGATTATTTATAAGGCGAAGAAGGGGGATTTGGAGGGCCTGAGAGCCACGTCGTGACACAGTGTTTATGCGCTTGGCTGCTGACCCAATGCATTTGCCTGTAACGAGAGGCATTTGGTCTGCAAAAGGCTGCAGCCTGCAGTCGGAGCCCTTGCGCCATACATCCAGGCGCCTCACACACTTCTAAGGACTTAGCTGCTGAAGTGACCACCACACTTCCAGTGAAGGGGAGGAGCTTTACTGACAGGAAGACAAAAATGCAAGCTTCGAGTTTCCATATTGAAGGACCCTTTGGACAAAAAAATTTGAACAACACAAGAACATCCATCAAAGAATGCGTCAATGGAGACAGAAGGGATACACAGTATCACCCCCCCTTAAGGGAAGGGGCTGAGGTTCAACTACTTCAGGAGGGAGAAGATGGCCCAGAACTGGGTGGGGCTGTGACCAAGCACTTTGAGGGGCTGAGCCCCAGGCCTTGAGGGCGTAGGACCACAGTCTTGAGGGACTTGTAAGTCAATTAGCATAACATGGGCCCTCAAGACAATGCCCCCATTCTACTTTGGTGAGTAGCTTGTGAGCAATCATCTAACATGCACCTATTGGTCTCTTCCCACGTGGAGTGAAACAGAGTGAAGACAATCAAGCCCCGGGAAACAACTAGATCAGGGGTTTTCAACCTGGGGGTTGAACGACCTTTTCACAGGGGTCACCTAAGACCATCAGAAAACACCTAAATATTTCACAATATATAATTACATATTGTTTTGTGATTAATCACTATGTTTTACTTATGTTTAATTATGTTCAATTTGTAACAATGAAAGTACATCCTGCATATCACATATTTACATTAGGATTCATAACAGTAACAAAACTACAGTTATGAAGTAGCAATGAAAATAATTTTATGGTTGGGGGTCAGCACACTGTATGAAAGGGTCGTGGCATGGGGAAGGATGAGAACCCTTGGACTAAATGGTGCCCAACTGCTCCTGCCAACTGACCACATAGAAGGCCCTGCAGAGATGGGGAGGGAAATGTAGAACACAATTCAAAGTCTTAAGAGAGATAGGACTTGCTGGTCTGGTAGAGACGGTGGAAACTCTGAGACAGTGGCCCTGTAGAGCCCCTTCCCACCTGGGACCGTGGCCACCCCCAGAGGGCACCTTTCAGCCAAACAACAGGCTGGCCCATAGTGTGAACAATGGTGCCTCAAGGACTGTGCCTCTCAGACCAGCCAACCACACGGCACCTACCTGAAAGGCAGCACTTGCCCGGCAGCAAAGAGGAAGGGGTGGGAAGCTGGGCATACCAAAGTAGGGAGCCCAGGGGGGAAGTGGGCAGAGTGCTGTGACGTTGCAGGGCTACAACCAACGTCAGGACACAAGATGCTACGACGAGGAGCTTGCCGCCAACGCCACAAAATGAACATGTCCACACCATGGAATGGAAAGCTGCTTTCTCTGGAAATTTCCACAAGAAAGCACAGTAAGTTATTATTTTTTTTTTTATTTTCCTGGGATTTCACGTTTGTTGATTTTTATTCATAATCTCTTTTTCAATACAATTTACAATCTTGTCCCCACTCCCAGACTCAATATACAGGTGCTAAGTGGCAGAGAGGCCTGGAATAAATACATCCCCAAACTGGTAAAGCTGTGGAGCTGAGTGCATGCAACAGGTTCCATGAGAGCGGGGTGCCGGGGAAGGTGTCGTGGAAATCGAAGAGGAAGACCAGGTAAATGGGAGGTCTGAGCGCAAGTTCGTTCAGTCATCCTTGTCTTTCGCTCCGTGTTTAAGGATGCGCGTGAACTCGATGTAATTGAAGTTCCCCTTTTTGTCAGTGGGGGCTTCTCTGTTCAGCTCATCCACTTCCTCATCCGTGAAGCGATTTCCCATGGTCGCCAGCAGCTCTCTCAGGTAATCTTCCTGAATGGTGCCTGTTGCTTCTTCGTCGAAGCAGGCAAAAGCATTTCTGATGACATCTTCCGGATCGGTCCCGTTCAGCTTCTCCCCAAACATCGTAAGGAACGTGGTGAAACTGATGGGGCCTGGAGCCTCGTCCATCATGGCATCCAGGTACGCGTCGGTCGGATTCTTGCCAAGAGAGGCAAGCGTACCCTGCAGATCCTCCTGTCGATGAAGCCATCTCGATTCTGGTCGATCATGTTGAAGGCCTCTTTGAACTCCTGAATCTGTGACCGGTCAAACATGGCAAACACATTGGATGTTGCGCGCTGAGGGCGCTTCTTGGTGGTCTTGGTCTTAGCCTTTTTGCTCGACGTGGCGGCTGTTTGGGTAGTTCAGTGCCAGACACGAGATGGGAACCCAGTAAGTTGTTTTTTAAAACAGAAAGAGCTACTGTCCTGAAGGACAGGCTGCATGGAAGGCAC